GCACTCTACCCGGGGGGATAGCTTGAGGCTCCGTCTCAAAAAAAAAAAAAAAAAAAGAGTATAAAATTTGGGCGGTGCCCATTGCTCAGTGGTTAGGGTGCTGGCCACATATACTGAGGCTGGAGGGTTCTAACCTGGCCCAGGCCAGCTAAAACAACAACAGCAACTGCATCAACAACAACAAAATACCTGGGCATTGTGGTAGGAACCTGTAGACCCAGCTACTTGGAAGGCTAAATCAAGAGAATTGCTTAAAGCCAAGAGTTTGAGGTTGCTGTGAGCTGTGAGGCAGCATATTCTACCCAGGATGAAGCTTGAGGCCTCCTCCCCCCAAAAAGAGTATAAAACTTATAGATAAATTGTCACAAACAATCCAAATCTTTCCGTGTCTAAATTTCTTTTTTGGGGGAAACAGTGTCTCACTATATTGCTCTTGGTAGAGTGCCCTGGCATCACAATTCTCAGCAACCTCAAACTCTGGGACTTAAGCGATTCTCTTGTCTCAGCCTCCCAAGTAGCTAGGACTATAGGCACCTGCCACAATGCCTGACTATTTTTTTTGTCGCAGTTGTTTGTTTAGCTGTCTGGGTTGGTTCGAATCGGCCAGCCTGGGTGTATGTGGCCAGTGCCCTAACCACTGCAGTATAGGTGCAAAGCCAATAGTGTCTAAAAGTTTTTGAAAGATTTTTTAGAAAAAAAATATTACTTTTTTACTTTCAGGCAGAGGTAAAAAACCAAAAATAATTGAATCTCTTGTTAATTTAAATTGTTCCTATGAAACAGGTAGGACCTTACATTTAAACATAGGAAGCCAAGCCCGATTGCTGACCTCTGTCATCCCAGCACTTGGGAGGCTGAGACCGATAGATTGCCTGAGCTCACAGGTTAGACACCAGCCTGAGCCAGAGTGAGACCCTGTCTCTAAAAAATAGCTGGGCATTGTGGCAGGCGCCTGTAGTCCCAGACTTGGAAGGCTAAGGCAAGGGGCTAACTTGAACCCAAGAGTTTGAGGTTGCTGTGAGCTGTGACGCTACAGCACTCTACCGAAGGCAACATAGTGAGACTCTGTCTCAAAAACATAAATAACAATAAACACAAGGAGATGTAAACCTCTTACATCTTTGGAAAGAAGTTTATATATTTCTAGGGGGAAAACATGCTTTCAGAAACTGATTTTGTGAGAGGTTGCCTAATTATTTTTACTTTAAATGGGTATCCGTTTTCATGTGAAGTTTTTTTTTTAGAGACAGAGTCTCAAGCTGCTGCCCTTGGCATCATAGTTCACAGCAATCTCCAACTCCTGGACTTAAGAAATTCTCTTTCCTCAGCCTCCCAAGTAGCTGGGACTACAGGCGGCCACCACAACGCCCAGCCATTTTTTGGTTATAGTTGTCATTGTTGTTTGGCAGGCCCAGGCTGGATTTGAACCTGCTAGCTCTGGTGTATGTGGCTGGTGCCTTAGCTGCTTGAGCTACAGGCACTGAGCCATCCATTTGAAGTTTTCTAATGCTTACTAAGTTCCGTTATTAGTATGAACGATCTATGTGAATTAAATCATTATACAGGAAAAATAGTTAGGATATCTTAAAAAGATAATAAAGCAATGCCTTTTTTTGTTTGTTTGTTTGAGACACAGTCTCATTACGTTGCCCTCAGTACAGTGCCGTCGTGTCACAGCTCACAGCCACCTCCAACTCTTGGGCTTAAGTGATTCTCTTGTCTCAGCCAAGAGGCAAATAACTGGGACTACTACACCAAGGCTGGAGGGTTTGAACGCAGCCAGGGCCTGCCAAACAAAGCCAACTACAAAAAAGAACTGGGACTATAGGCACTTGCCACAGTGCCTGGCTGTTTTTTTTTTTGTTGTTGTTGCAGTTATCGTTGTTTAGCTGGCCCATGCCGGATTCAAACCACCAACCTCAGTGCATGTGGTTTGGCACCACAACCACTGTGCTACTGGCGCTGAGCCAGTAATGCCTTTCTTGTCCCGAATCTGAAACTGAGATGAGTTTTGCTATGTTGGATGAGTGATGTTCTATGGACTTGAATTGCTCTCCTGGTTATCAGGACAGTTTGAAGGATTATCTGTATTAGTCATCAGAATAACTTGGAGGACCTAGTTTTTTCTTTCCTTTTCTTTCTTTCTTTCTTTCTTTTTTTTGCAGTTTTTGGCCGGGGCTGGGTTTGAACCCACCACCTCCAGTATATGGGGCCAGTGCCCTATTCCTTTGCGCCATAGGCACCGCCCCCCCTTTTTTTCTTTCTTTTAAGACAGGGTCTTGCTCTTGCTCAGTGTGGTCTAGAACTTGTGAGCTCA